GGTGAAAACCACAGCCAGGAACCAATACTTACCAGTTTCAGGAGGTTATTATTTCTAGGGAGGGAGGTGAAAGAGATCTGGGAGGGATGCAGGGAGGCTTCAACTGTATCTGTAATGCTTTATTTTTTTTAAGTCTAAAGCAAATATAGCAAAACGTTAATACCAGTCAAATTTAGCTACTGGGTTCAGGTATTTCTCATTAGTCTCTGAACTTTTCTGTACATTGGAATTCTTTATCAAAAACAAATAGAAATTAAAGTGGACATATAATCATTATATCCACATACATACTCACTTGTCTTACCTCAACTGAAGAGCGAGGAGTCACAAAGAACTGATTGAATTCATCAGGGCTAAAATCTCCAAAAACATACTGAAAAAAATAAGAGAGTCACTGATCACATAAAATATATAAATTATATACTTTCAGGAAAATGTTATATATTGTAACAATCCTATGAAACATTTGGGCCAGAATCCCCAAAACCTTTTCTCAATTAAACAAATTTAATTTGGTCTGCAAACTGAGGTTTCTAGGTGCAGTATTTTCCAATTATCAAAAAAATAAAAATAAAAATACTACTTAACATTTCTATAAATTGTCAAAGAACACTCTGAAATTGATTAAGCTTCTTTAGAAACAAGTCAATTTTGTACACCAAACTTGTGGAGTCCTGCTTGCAGGAGAATTTTTTTGGTTCACAGATATTTCCAGTTGTTCCATTTACCTCTCTGCTGACTCATGTCACTATGTGAATTTCAGTTTTCTCTGCCAAACTGACTAAAGAAAAACAGAAAACATGATTCAAATGGGAAGACAGGGAAATCCAAAACAGAAAAATGCTAATGATCCTGATTAGTGATCTTTAAAAATATATATGGATTTTTTAAATTTTAAAAATGCATTTGAGCATGATGCACAGATACCAGTATTATCAGACAGACACAGCACTATTTATGGTCCCCAATTTCAAAGAATTCTGAATGTGACTTTCTGGAAAAACAACTGGTTAAACAACATGAACATGAGTTTGGGAAGTGTGGCTACCAATTCATATTCTCCCTGGAGCTTCAAGAAGTCAGTCATTAAGAAGAATCAGTAGGAATGAATTTCTACAATAGGGACCCATTCATCCACCCATTACACCAATAATTTTTTAGAACCTACTAAATGCCATGCACAACAATCAGAAGTGAGGATAAAATGATAAAATGTGGCTCTTCTGTTCTAATGGAGCTTACAGTCTAGTAATTTGCAGGGAAATTTATAAGCATGTGAAAGTCAAAGTAAATGGATAATACCCATTTTTACTGTAAATGCAAATAAATGGCAACCAAGTTCATACCCTGTTGTTAAGAATGTACAGGGGAAAACACTTCTGGATGGCTCTTCGGCAATTTCAACCAAGACTGTAAATACACACTGAAAACAAAATGTCTTCACATAATATATATACATATGAGTTGTCCACAAAGAAATTGTGCACTGGCAGCAACAGCAAAAATAAGCAGTCTCGAAATGATCTTCTGAAATTCTTTCATTGTGAAGTTCGACCTTCTTTCATTGTGAAGTTAGACCTTCTTAGCAACTCCAATGAGGAAAAAGCTTATATCAATTTCACTTAGGCATATACCAAGCAATGGAAGGGAAAAGTATCTTTAGGTAAAAAGGAAGCAGAAAAAATAAGGCACAAAAAAGGAGCTATCAGAGAAAAAGAGTTCATGAAAATTTGACTACTAAACTTAAATTACTAAATTTAAAAACTCAGCATAAGGTCTGAACAGCAGAACCAACACGGCTATAAAGCAATGGGGAGATGTTTTGAATGTTCCAAGAAAAAAGTATTTGTTCCCAGAATTCTAGAATATTTTTTTTCTATAGAATTCTATTCT